TATATCCTTTAATGAAAATTATTGTTATTATTATTATTATTATTATTAAACATTAAAATAAAAAATTAATAATTATACCTTTGATATCCATGGCAGCTTTTGTTGTTTTAATGTACAATTTTTTGTCAAATGATTTTCTGTTTTCCAATATCGATAGCAATAATTTTGATATTTAGATGGAATGGATGGACAATTTTGAACCCAATGTTCATGATTTTTACAAAATACACATATATTATTAAATATTTGATGGGAAGATTCAGTTGACGGATTTGTAATTATTGTCAATAATGTATCAGTTGATGATTTTTGAATTTCTGTGATATTTTTGATCACATTTACTTGTATCTCTATTATACTTGTGTGGCACATCTTTGGATATAAGATATATTAGATATCACAGTTTTTTGAATTTATTTAATAGTTTTTATGATCTTTAAATAAATATTTAATAATTATTTTGTGTCTATAATAAAATATTTTATTTATATATACAGTATATGTATATGTTCATTTTTTTCATCTATCTTTATCTTTATAAATAGAATACTTTATCTTCTAATACTTTTATAAAATAGAATATTATAATTTGATTTTTATCTTTATAACAAAATCCAAATTTGGCTTATGTTACCTTGGTAATTTTATACTTCTAAAATGACCTCGGTTTCTAATAAATTTGATTTTAAAAAATCAAGAATATAATTAAAAAAAAAAAAAATGTATTTTATAGATTATCAATTTTAATTTTGATTGATTACTTTTAAATACTAATTATTATTGGTTAATCAGATTTGACGTTTAAATTTTTGATGGTGCAAGACTTTTGTGAGCTACCGTATATTTTAACTAAGTATTTAAATTTATTTGTTTTTATAATACAGCTAAATAGATCCATTTAGTTTAGATCTAATAAAATAAAAGTATTTATAAAATATTTGAATAATCTGTTTATAATTATTTTAATAAAAAATTTTCAATTGATATTTTAAATATAAATTAAAAAGAAATTCAATATTTTTAAATTTCCTATATGTACAATAAATTCAAATAAAATTTGAATATTTAATTTTAAAAATATAACAATAAAGAATATTAAAGTTTTATTAATTATTAATTAATAATTTTATAAAATTTTAAAAATCATCAATTACTTGATTTAATTTATAAATAAAATTTTTTGTTAATAAAAAATGATAAAAAAACTATTTCCTAGAACGTATCTTAATAATTAATAAAGGAACCAACCCGACGCAAGGATGAGCTAGCGTTTAAAAAAAAAATAAAATAAAATAAAAAAATCAAAATCAAAATAAAAAAAAAATAAAAAAACTATTTTATAAATTTATTCATCTTTATTTAATATACAGTATTTATGCATTAAAATAATTTCAATAAATTTTTTTCATTTGTAATAGAAAATTGTGCATTATAAAAAATTAATTCTTCATTTTCAAATTATTTACAACGATTTCCATCTCACATGAAATTTTTTTGTCAAACCATTATGCATACCATACAGTACTTGGTGTCATGGTATCGAGTTCATCCAAGGATGACTTCTAATATTCTGGTAATACCAAGACGTTCGCCAGGACGTTTGTCAATAAGGGAAAAAAAGAATCATAAGTTAGGTATTTTATACCGCACATGCAATGACCATCAGTACTATTAGAAACGTGGAACGCAAAAGATTTTGTGAATGCACTGTAAAGAAGTTAAAGAGAGAATTGTATCTCCGATAGTTTTCGATGCTGTGTGCAAAGAACAGATAGCATGAAATATACTGTATATATATTTCATCCTCTGTTCCACGCAATCATCCATTAACGAGGAAGGTCAAATTAAATGATCAATTAGCAAAAATTCAAAGAACATTCACGCAAAAGAAATTATGGTCCGATAATGCGTAGGTGGACGTGATTTATGCTACGGTATCCTAATACCTGTGAAGGAGCACGAAATCATGACCATAAAGTGACTGCCAGGCCTCAGTCCAAGCGAAAACTATAAATTCGCAAGAACCGAAACCAGTTTAAGTTCGTGGCACCAAACTACTTGAGCACATCCATATTCTGTACATTTGCATGTTTCATACAGACCAGGTTCAACTATTTGTAGATGGTGTAACATATCAAGAAATAGGAATCGCAGAGTCTGTTAAATTAGTTCCAATCACAATCTTTGCCACGCGAAGAATGTCATTAAGCAAAACAGCCAAGAAAATACTACCATGGGTCGTCATTGGAAGCGCGACAGTTGTGATTAGCGGGATTGCTTTGCTATATACGTTTCAACGTAAATTAATCTATACTGCGAACTATCCTCAAGGGTCCCGAAAACATGTAAATTCTATTTCCTCGTTGAAATATTATAAAGTTATACGCATGTTTCACAGTCCTTTTTGCATAGGTAAATAATAAGCATACATTCGAATAACAGATTTTGAAAAATTATCAGAATAAAAGTTGTCCTAACGAAAATGCCTGAATTTATCAACAGGTTTCCAAACCCACGGAATTTGGCATCCCGTACTCTAATGTGGTCTTGATAACGCAAGATAAAGTTAAAATTCGTGCTTACGTTTGCAGAAGACCAAACGAGGAAGATGCAAGTAGGAGGCCAACCATTTTGATGTTTCACGTAAGTTGATCTCAATGACCACCGATTCAACATCGAATATTACTTATTTGTCGATTGGAATTTCACAGGGAAGTGCTGGAAACATGGTAAATCTTTATTTGACATATCGATGGTGAATTGGGAACCCGCATTTATTTCGGAAGATGTTTAGGGACACAGGTTGCCAATAGCCGAAAGGTTTTATAAAGATTTCAGGTGTAACGTGATATTACTGTCTTACAGAGGGTACGTATGAACTGAAAGAATCACGAATAGAGCACGGTACGATTGCATTCAACGACGTCCGCTTGTTCCCACATCCGAAACAGATATGGCCATAGCGAAGGAACCCCTTCGGAAAAAGGCATTCGCATGGACACGCAGGTAACATCCCATGGGTTTTTTCCATGCCTTACACAACTATCGCATTGCAGGGTTAATATATTTCGTGCAATTAGGCTATTCTAGATTACATCAAACAAGATCCATCATTAAAAGACACCAAACTTATAATATACGGACAATCACTTGGGGGTGCGGTGGCGATCGACCTGGTCGCCAGAAACGAGTCTAAAGTTTGTGGTTTAATTATTGAAAACACTTTTCTTAATGTGGTAGGCTCTGAAATCTGCATTAAACAAGGCCGTACGGACGGACACAAACTCATTAACACCATTGAACTTCCTATACAGCAAAGGATAATTTCCCACGTAGCGCCAAAGTTTCGATACATTTCTTTCATCTGCTCCGAAATTTGGCCATCCGATAAGAGCATCGTGAGAATCAAAAGCATTCCAATATTGTTCATTTCCGGGACGAAAGACGAGATCATTCCGCCGCGACAAATGAGAACACTATATGAATTGGCGGCTACCACCGGAAGAAAGGAATGGAAAGAGGTCATAGGCGGATCGCACTACGATACTGTCACCAAACCCGAGTATTTTGAGATTATCGGAGAGTTTTTAAGGAAGGAAAATCTGGGAGTTTGATGAATTGAATAAATTGTTTGATACTGTATATTACGAGTTTTATAATAAATTTAAATGTCATTGCCAGCGAACGAGGTAGGAAGCAAAAATATTTCACTGCCGTCTACCCAAAAATGAGTTCTCGACAATTGGATAAACTTGCTTTCGCGATAAATTAGGATTCTTTTGGACATAGAATCCTACATCCATCTCGTCGATGTCGTTATCCATAACAGGGTGTCTCTCTAAGCCCATCATTTTCGCCTTAAATTCCTCTAGAACCTCTTTCCTACAAAACGGACCATTCACCGAACAAATAATCATCTCCCTACGAAACCCCCCATGATCAAATGACAGCATCACAATCAACAGATCCAATTCCCTCGTTTGACAATATTCTTTCAACCCACGAATCAAGACTTCGAGACCTTCACGTTTAATCCAGGCATCCACATTCCAGCCAATGCTACTTATTCCTACACGATATTTTTCGATATTTCGTTCCTTATAATCTTTGCGCAAAAGGTCGAAATTTGATAGGTCAAATATGTCAAACCTTGCCTTCCGTATTTTATCATAATAATTCTTGATGAAGACATTCACATTTTCCGAAAGTTCGAGAAAATTGAGGAGAAAATCCGCTGCCATCTGATCTTTGTTTGTGGTTCTACCCTTGGAGACATCTAAAAAGATTGTGTCTGCCAGGATTGGAGCCAGAAAAAATTTAGCAAGTTTTGCGTCATCACTCTCTCTCTCCCATCGGTCTTTGAAATTCAGTACAACCAAAGATGTGGCTGATCCGACATTTTCAACGCATCTTAACCTAGCATTCATGTGTAAACCTTTGTCTTCGTGATGATCCAAGATTACCTCCACATTTTGCGAAAAATTTTTCCAGACGCCAATTAGTTCGTTGTGATCAACGAGAACCAACTGAATATCATAGTTCGCAAATAATTTGTCAATGTGTGGCGTTATGTCGTCAATAAAAATCAGGGTATCCACAGAGAAACCACAGTCTTCAAATACATAAACGCATTCTGGACGAATGCGAATATCCGATCTTGGGATTTGGATAATTGGAAGGCAGGTTCGATCAAAGTTTGCGAGTTGATTGTTGAGATGGGCGTAAGCGATTGACCCAATCACCGAATCCAAGTCTAAATTAAAGCAAGTAAGAGAAAGATTAACTTTGATCGAGGAAAAGAAGTAACAGTAGTGAGCGAGAATTATAATTGCCTGCCGATTCATTTCCAAGAACAAACAAAAGATTTTTTTTATCTGGATTAAATTAGATTAGTTGTCATACTTTTAGCGCTTTGATTTTGAAATGGAAGCAAAAATCAGGTCCAACATTACCTGCAGATTTGTTGGATGAGGGAACTTTGCCCGTGTTATCCGGGCATTCCTCCAACAATTTATTGAAGTTGCTGAGAAAATCAAAAGACATACTTTCAAACCTAACGCTTCTACTAATGTGTGCTAGAGTGCTATACATAATTGTCACGTGGTTTAAGGTACGATTGTGTGACAATTATTTAACGTACTGTATGTGAAAATAAAACGGTACATATACAGTATGTGAAAATAAAACAGTACTGTATATATTTTAATAAAAGTTTGTTTCAGAAATACTGTCTAAAATCAAATTAAAATTGGTAAATAACCATTCCGCATTATAAACAATACTATATGCACCAACAATTTATTTTGATAAAAGTTCTAATGATCACTTATAAAGGCCGTCATTTTATTTTACAAGTTAATGCTTCAAGAAAAATATAAGAACGCGCTATTAAGAAAAAAAAAAGAAAATCCTGCAAGTTCAATAATTATATTGATTACTGAATATTGTTTTTGAGGCGATTATTGGAGAGGAGTTTCTTGCTTATTGCTTTGGCCAAACAATTTTCAATGTTTACTTTTTAACGGAGTCTCGCACGATTAGACAGTAATGATGAAAACACTCGGCAACACAAATAATCGGTTGAAAATCCTCCATAACTCATTAACCATCAACTTTCTTCACCAATCTCGGTGGTTTCTTCTTCTTGGGACTCATGCTATTGGCCAGGTATCTCGTTTCATCATATAATTCCGATTTCTTCTTTTTCAATTTCTTAAATTCCTTCGCCATCTTTCGTTTTAATTTCCTCTCGGCTTTGAGTTTCGAAAGTTTCTCTTCTAATTTCTGCTTTTGTCTTTCCAATCTCTTCGGATCCGGTGTCCATTTTGACCTGAGTATACGTCGAACGGCCTCAGGTGATATCTTAAATTGTTGTGATAATATCTTCGGGGTGTTCTCCTCCGGTGCCTAGGATAAAATTTTAGGACGAACGCCTAGCCGATAAATTATTACACGATCACATCAAAGGGAATTAATTTAATTTACCTGTTCATGCAAGGTCCTAATCTCATCCATGATTTCCCGTGATACCTTTTTCTTTGGTTCCCATTTCTCAAATCCGGTCCTTTCCATAATAGAGTATTTATGCTTTAGCCATCCTGGCAGAGGTTTTGTTTTCCAGTTGGGATCATAATTTCTCGGTAATGAATTCACCCCAGCAAATAAATTTTCGCGATCGATTTCTTTAATTCGCATGTCTCTTGGTTGCTTGTGTTCTTGTGGCAAAGCTCTCTTGTTTATCAATTCCAGTAAAAACCTCCGTTTGCTTAGTCGCGATGACCGTTGTAATATTTGTTGACTTAGTATTTGATAATTATATTTATGCAACGCCGGTCCTTGTTTTTCACCGGATTCGCGAGAGGAATTTGAATTTTCCACGTGCTGCTCGCAAGAAGAAAGAAATCAAGATCAATGTGGATTCATAATTTCACCGGGAATTCTAGTTAATGGAGTTGGTTAACCTTACATTATCCTGGTTAACGTTTGCATTGGCATTGTTCTCCTGAGAGCTGACATCCGCACTCTCGGCATAAATTCTTTTCACATTCCTAGTGTCCGCTCTTTCAACCTTCCTGGCGTCAATCTTAGCATCCAATTTGCCGTCGTACTTATTTCTCGCACCAACAGATTTTGAATTCCCATCAAGATTTTCCCTCAACAAACTTTCAAGGGTAATCTTGACATCTTTTTCCTCTCCGTGCAATTCACTTTTACTCGCCGTATTATCATAACAACTGGAAGATCCTCTGTCCAATTCATTAACCGTTGCTCTGCTTTTTCGTCTTATCGCATTACTACTTATTTCACTCTTTTTCGTTATGCTCGCGATAGTATTTTCCCTGTTCTGAATGGTATCGTTTGCCAGTATAGCAGAGGTGATAAGGTCACCACCTTGCAACCTGACCTTCAACCTTTGCGCAAGACTAACAGTATTATTTTTTTCCATTGACGCCTCCTTTTTTCTCCGTTTAGCCTCGATTCGTTCAAGCCTTATCTTTTTCTGCCTTATTCTTTCAACGGCATTCTTTGCGTTCGTTGGACTTAGAAATATCCTGTAGTTCTTGTTATTCTTTATCAGGCCTCCGACGGTCGTCTGTGCCCTACCGACGTAACTTCGATGTGGAACTACTACATTCCAACGCGTTGAACGTGGAAAATTGTACCGAGGGTATGAAGACGGGGGTGCATCGCTAATATTGTAAGAATGAAGTGAAGTTTTGGGGCGATTGCTCGTGCGTGGAACTCCTAGTGAACGTGAGAGATGGTGATTAGGAGAAAGGTTGGCGGTGAAGAAAGCATGCGAGATCCGATGGTAGCTCACAGGGAATTTATGGAACACCGAAGGGTTGATTAAAAACGGATTGTTGTTTTTGAAAAAGAGAGGCATTTTTTTTATGATCATCTACATCGGATTTCTTATCTCGTCAGCTTCCTTACCCGTTTTAGACAAGCTTACATTACGGTATGACGCATGTGCGTTGTGCGCGCACAGTTCCGCAATCCGGTATGTATACTGTAAATACTGTTATATTATTACTGAAAATAATGCGATGGTTTATTGTTAGATGACTGGGAACTTTCAGTTTATCAATCATGATTCTTATCGGAGATAAGCGTTCATGCTATTTTTTAACATGATTAACTCCACATGTTTTAACTACGACACGGTCCCAGAAGTCTAAAATATTTCCACGCAGTATAAAAACTACGCGATCCGATCGCCCATTCCTTACACGAGAAACCGGGTCATCACCAAACATTTTGTCATTGTTCCATTAAATATAAGAGGATGCCCAGGGTTTACCTTATCTTATTATTTCTCAGCATGATCCTGAAAGCATCGTGTTCTCGACTCAACGACTCTCAGGTTCTGAGCTTGCACATCTCTCATAACCGCGTGGTCACCAAAAATTCCTTGGTCCCCCCGATAAATGAAATCGAATCGTTTTCGACCTTCAACACGTCGAGGAAAGGAACAAGCGAAATGCATTTTCTTCGGGAAGGGGAAATTCTTGATCTTGAAGGCAGCGGGGTTATTGGAAGAAACGTGAATCCAAGGTGCAAGGAACACTGCAAACACGAGTGCAAGCGACATTGGCATCCTATATTAAGATACATTTGCATCTTTAGATGTCACAAGCATTGTCATTTATAGTCCATGGTTGTTTTGTGAACGACGGGATTTTTTTCTTGTAACACTCGTACAAACATGTTTTGTTTTTTTTTAATGGAAGAACCCTCAGCGTTTGCCTTTAGTTAATAATCGTGGACCACGGAATGTCAAATTTTTTACTTCAACCCCTACTCACAATAATAACGATGGCAAAGATTGGAAAATTAATTTTTGATGCTGAATTAATTATTGCGCGTATTCCTCGTGTTCCCAGAGAACTTAATGCCATCAGTAAATATTTCATTATTGTGGAGTGAAGATAAAGATAAGTAAGTCGCTATTTATTCCATATTACAGTACACACCTGTACAACGCGATGTATGCTGTATATTGCACATGAAATTCAAACGTCTCATCTTGACAAATTTCAGTAAAGACAAAGATCGCTCACCACGCCTTCTTCTCATTTCGCAAACGAAAGAGATGCGATTACATCATTTGATTTTTCACATGATTCACGCAACCAACCATAATGAACTACTGTAACTCTTCAGATAAAATAGGATCGACGATCGACAAGTTACTTTCTTTCTTCCCAGTTGCTCGCTGTCTATTTATTTATTTATTCATTCATTCATTCATTCACTTTACTTGTTTGTTTGTTTGCTTGCTTGTTTGTTTTTGCTTGTAATGTGGAGATGGACGACATCAAAAGCAAAAAGAAAAAGGAATCCAAATTCTAATGTTCAATCTGAAGAGGGTAAATCAGGTTTCAATCCCAAGGAAGGTGCAGTGGTTGGGATGTACTGTATACTTGAGAGCGTTAAAGATTCTTGTCCTCTCGTAACAAGTGATAGTATGTTTTTAGAGCATAAAATTTCGAAACGTGTGAGAAAGGTTTCTAAAAATCGTGCCATCTATCTTAAAAAACGCAAGGCTCGGTACAAATCTCGTCGCCGTGCTGAAAAACGCGGACTCCTTTGCAACCCACCACCCGTTCCGCATGCTTTGAAACTACCCGTCGAGATATTTACCAGGGTGTGTAATAATTTGCCTCCATCTGACTTGTACTCTCTGACTCGAGTCTGCAGACAATGGAGAGGCTGGCTAGACGCTCCGGAAAACAAATACACCCAAAGAATATGGGCTGATTCTCGTACCACATTTGCTAAAAGAGTAAGACCCCCCCAGGGTGGAAAGGATGAACTGTGGTGGTTCACCAGAAAATGGAAAATGGTTCCAAGCTGGATCACCGATTGCTTCTTCTGCACAAGCACCAAAGCCCATAAACACTGTCGCTACAAGGATACCTTGGTTCGGTGCTGCAAGCATTGCCATGGTTTCTATTCAAGGCAGGCGAGAAAGAGGGTGAGTGTGCATTTGCAAACTTAATTGTATCATGCAGTTTGAACGTGAGATTTATCAAGGGTCCCTTCATCGACGTTGCAGTACCCGCACATAAATCCGCCCAAGCCTAAGTCAGTTCCCAAAAGCCGTCGCAATAGTGTCAGGTATCGGTATTACGACGGAGGTTTGCGACCTTACTAATCGACACGTACTGTATGTACTGTGCAGTAAATTTGCGGTGATCTTCGTCATAAAGAAGGGAAAGCAAGGTTGATTGCAATTCCCCTTTACAGTATTTCACTTTATCTCGTAATGTAAATTATTTAGAAATTTAGATCACCATCATAATACTCTTTAAAGTCATTCTAGACTAGACTCGTGACTCGTTAATTTAAAAGAAGTCTTGCACAACAACTACGTTTAAAAATATTCGCAAAATAGTGTTTACCGAAACAATTCATTCGCCTAAACAAACCACTCACCTGTTAAACCGCAATAATAGAGAATTAACGAGTGCCAGTTGATTTTATGTGAGGTAGAAGCTTTCAAAGCAAATGCATGTTATACACATCATACGCACTAATAGATGTTGCCATAAAGAAGTGGCGCGAATACAATTGTAAAAGCAATAGTCTGTCGAGAATCGATGTTTAATTTGAGATGCAAACTGATCGAATTCTACCCACACGTTTTTTTAAACGTCTACACACTCATGTTTCAAACTTCGCATGACCACTTGACAACGGTCTACCATCTTATCGCCTTGAAAGACTTGGGCGGCGTAAAGTCCGGTCCGTTGTTACCTCGATCTTCGACGCCATTCATCTCGCCATGCACTTGACATATCCACGAGTATACCCTTGAACTTGGGGTAACGGCTGAATATTCGTCACATGCATCGGTTATGCCACTGTCATTCTGTGACGGTACCTTCATAAAGTTACCGCCAGGCAAATGGGGATGGCCGTTATAACGGAAAGACGGCGTACATTGATCTTGATCTTCGTGGAAGTTGACTTCCATGTCACACTGCAGCTCTTCGATCATTCCTACAATCTCCTTTTCAATTCTGTCGCATTGATCACGCCTCGCAAGCTTCTTTTGGACGTCGCAACCGGCAGGATTATTACTTGAACGCGAAAAGCTGACCCGATCGAATAAACTGTGATCATACACGTTCAAGGTATTTGAGTGTTCGCTCAAGAGATCTATGTCGCTTTCTTCATCTTCGTGGCTAGTGTCACCTCCTGCTTCTCCGACTTGCGGAACCTCCTCTTCGAACAATAGCCTGTTCAACTCTCTAAAGGAATTAACACGATCCTCCTTGCTGTATTCTTCGGCGCGTTCGCTTGTTGGCATGGTCACAAATATCCTTGTATAATTCGGATGCCTCTCCTCATTCCAGGTAAGTTTCGTGGATTGTAATCCCCATTTCACCTTCCTCGGCCTCCCTTGCCCCGACCTTGAACGGGTTCGATGTTCCATAAATGCTTCGTATCCTGACTTACCTATGAAGCATAGATATTTTGGTCGGTATACCTTGACCTTCTTGATGAGATTTGGAATAGCGCATGTGATCTTATCTATCGATAACTTTTTCTGTAGCGGGGGTGCGTACGCGAATTATTATTATCTTGAGGGTGTTCATGTGGTGTTATATCGGAAAGGTGAACGCGTTACGTATAGGCAAGCAAGTACCTTTGAGCGATCTTCAGGTCGACAAAGCAATGTGACAATTCCCAATTTAAAATCACGCGCCAAGCGCCTATCATCAAGATAGTTAACCCTCTCGCCTCTGGTCAATCCTGGAAGAGATGTCAGAAGGTGAGGTGGATCGCCTTGGCAGAACGTGCGGTATGATAAGTGAACGATAACGCTATATACCGCCTTCCATCAAGCAGTCGTAAAAGTGGTTTAAAGACGACGAGAAATGGTGACCGGTTGATACACTCTTCTTTCCAGAGAAAAGATTGACGAATATGACTATCAAAAAGATTAGTTCAGGTCGCGCACCTTCTAGGACGCCTGAAGGAATTCACTCGTGATGACAAGAGTTACATATAAAGAGATAAATCAAATGTTACCTTTCAAGCCATAATCAATGACATCCGCAACGGCCAAACTAATATTAAATTTTCCATCGCGTCTTAAAACACTTCTCCTTTTCACAATCACGTCACTATCTGACTCTTGACCCGTGTTACTCGAAGTCTCTGAGACTCCCGAGGACTTAAGACGACGTGATAGAAGTTGAGAAGGTTTGGTACTTGAATGTCGTTGAGAAGGCCCGGAGGGGATTCCGTGTCGTCGTTTTCTTTGGTAGGTTTTTAATTTTTTATTATGCATGGGTGGCATGATCGGCGTGAAATTATTTCTCCAGAGATGAGATTTATATCGCCTTACGAAAATGGGACACATCGGTAGTTTCCGTAAACTCGATGGTGACCATTACTATAACCGTTGAATGTCTGTCTGTCTTCCTCTTGATTCCAACTCTGAGGAAGCTTGTGCTATTCATCACTACTGTAATCAACGTGAGTCCATCAAAGCTTGAGATTTGATTATTATTTGTGTCGATGTCAAATCAGAGATGTCATTTTAATTCTTACATTGAAATGGATCTTACAACTTTATTTTGCGATCCATAGTATACAGTATAAACCTTGATGGAATTAATTTAAATGCGTTCGTAATGTGTACTGTACGTTAAAAAGAACGTGAAAATGCAAATACAAAATGAATGCCGTGCATGATATAAGCATAATACGGTAGGTACAAATTTTTTGCTTTATGTGATAATGGCTGCTCTTTTTTGTTAAAGTGGACAATACATTTCTTCATGGTACGCCGTTTAATAGATTATTCAACCTCTTTCGTTTCTTCACCTTCTTTTTTTTTTTTAATAATAATTTCGAGATCGTTAACGACTCTCCGAAAACTAGTAGAACTTGGATTAATGCAATGCGATGGTACTGTAAAGGATACGGAATTTTTTTTTTTTTTCAATCATCAAAATATGGTTCACAAAGGTTTCGAAGGTCTGACTCGCATATGGTTCGGTGAATTATCAGAAAAACGAAGTAGAATCACCGCGTGTGAGTTCATTACATTGGAACTTGACGCCATTAAAAACATGTACTTTTATCCCTCCCATCGCCAAAATAATCGATGCGTACAAATACTGTATATAGTATAATATAGCCTATTGGCTGTAGTGTAACTCATGGCAGCGGGTTATTCGCAAAAAAAAAAAAGAAAGTATAATATAGCCTAATTATGAATGATTCTGTCTCGTTCTAATGTTAAGTTTTATGTCTACAGGTCGATTTGCGGTAGCATAGAAGTACTTTGGATCGGCAGCTTCATTGACCAACTCAACATCAAATGCACAAACGAGTCTAATCAAAAAGGTTTTCATTTGAACCATGGCCCACCCACGACCAGGACACATACGCACGCCATTTCCGAAGGGAATATACGTGAATTTACCTATTGATTCTTTGTCATTAAAGAATCTGTCGGGATTGAATTCTTCGGGATCTTTAAAATACTTGGGATTATTGCTCAAAGCTTTGAAATCGGACAAAACTGCCGTGTCGGCTTTGATCTTAAACCCATCGAATTCAACATCTTCGGTCGCGGCACGAGACATTAGTGATATCGTAGGGAAAATACGAATACTCTCGTTAATCACGGCTTCAATATACTTAAGTTTTCCGTAGGATTCGATCGTAAGGTCAGGATTATCTATTGTGCCGTAAACATTCAATACCTCCTCCCTCATCCTCAGATAGACATCTCGGTGTTGGGCAATATAGAAACCGATAAATCCTAAAGAATTTGCCGTGGTATCCAACCCACCGGTAAACACTTCACGGACGATCGAACTTATTTCTTCGTCATTCAGAGATCTATCAAAGTTGCTAACCGAAATTTTTTCCAAATCCCTTTCTGTATTCGTTGTAATCAACAAAGTTAAAATCGTTGGGTCGAGAGGTTGATTTAAGGGCGTTCGTTCGATCTCCTTTCTTCTTTCGACGATCATCTTTTCCAACTTATCATTTATCCAATCCCTATTATCCAAATATTTTTTATTTAAGGCTTTGATGCCGGGAAAATTTCTTCGAATGAATGTTGGAAATAGCATCATAAAAGCCATGGATTCATTATAAGTAAAAATTGCCTCGAGAAATTTCGCGCCATCTTTCCAACTTCCCTGCGTTTGCGGTTTCTTTTCTTTAATGTTCAAGCTATTGAATAGGTTTGACACCGAAGGAATTTCTTCTCCCGTCGCAGCCATGGTAACGACACTTGCAGCAAAAGCATCCGTCCATTCGGAGAAGTCAACTTGCATTCCTTCTCTTTCCATAATTTTCCAGCACTCAAAAATTTCATTAATAACTTTGATTGACCCTTTGACCGATTCGCGCAGGAATGACGGCGAGGAAATACACGAGATCATAAATTTTCGGTTGATGGACCAACTTTTGATATCACGATTGAGCACTATTCCTTTTGTGCCCAATCCTAGTTCGTCGACACCCTCAGAGTATGAGTTACGCATAATGAACTTTGTATTTTTAAGTGAGGCAGGTCCCCAAACCTTTTCGATTAAATCAGGCCTACTAATTACGACGCCGTGACTATTTCCAACATAAAATTCATAAAAGTCTCCATATTTTTTCTGAAATTTCTTCGCTGCAGCCGGAAAATCACCGATTTGGTGTAGGTTCCCAATAAGTGGTAAAGGAAGTGGACCGGGAATTTTCGATGGTCGGTTAAAATAATTTATGTAAAATTTTATTACATAAAATGCGATTGTTAGAAAAATGAGTGAGAAAAGGTTGCTTTTAGCAAAGTTAAATAACTCGTAAGTGATCATGATTCAAAGTTGTTGCACTCTATGGTCAAACAATCCTCAGGCACCTTTTGTTATATACAACAGCGACAAGGCAACGGATTCGTTTACGTTGACATCAAAAAATTTTAAATCCTATTCGAAACTAATAATAATGCAAATCTCGGAGTTGATGACCCTAAATGGATATACATGTATTAAGATGCTCAATATTTCGGCCTAATCTCTATCCACGGTTTTGAAAATCTACTTTCATTGGTACGGTGTACGGTGAATTTTCTGATTACGAGTACTTGACCAAAAGTATATTAGTCTGTCTCGCGGCAATCGTCTTGCGTGCAATCTTTTATTCGACTTTAAAATTTATGGAAAAAACAGACTGTTACGTAATCGCCCTAGGGTCCTTAGGTAAACCTTATCCGGGTTCTGATCTAACAATGCTGTGATTCCTTTATCCAGAAGTGGTCAAGGCTTTAATAACAAAGAAAACCGTGATAGGTTACCACTTAAACTTATGGCGCCTCCATTTTTATACAAATACTACCTCGAAGAATAAAAAGGCGATGACAATATTAAAAGGCGTGAGGACATATCGACTAACAAACACTATTTCACCATTACTTTGGAGCTTTAATAAACAAATAAAATATACAAGAAAAATTACATAATGTTACTTTAAAAGATGCGTATGTAAAGTGGAAGATCACGTAATATCCTTCTATAAATACAAAAGACGTCGCAGAAATGATTAAAAAGAAGATGCGATACATCCATTATCATGGTAAAAAAAAGAAATGTTATCTCCGATTGGATGCAAGAAAATTCTATCAACTTGAAAGAACCTTGTATTAATTCGTACAATAGTAATTTTACTAAGCACTCACGATTGTTATATTAGAATTATCGCAAATGTTCGCTAATTCGCCTCCTTCAAACTGATGGCCGTTTTGGAATTATCGTGCTACTAAATATTATTGCACCCAATAATTTTTGTATGCTAGAAGACACGAAAATATTTGTTTCGAAGCCTCATCTGCGTCACGTGATAAGGAATGCACATCTTTTGATTTACAATACTATGACTTCAACTGACAAGGAAGATGTTGGACGAAACGAAATACACATCTGAACTTGGAATAAAGGGTGGAAGAATGCATCTTCGAATTAAGATGTACTGCATATATAAAATAATAAATAACGAATAACTGGCAGAAGGTTTTCTTATATTTTAATGCAGGTGAGATGATTACGTCGTTAACTTCAAAAACACGGTAGAAATTTTAGCCTTTCGTCCCAAATTCAAATGAAAATTCCAAAAAAAGGTACTGTTATGTCATGGATCCATCAAATAACTTACTTTATCGGTCGAAAAAACGAAACTTTTTCGTAAGTCAAATTCGCGATCCTCAATGATCACATGACAGGTGTTCAAATAATCTTATTATTATTATTATTAACATATTTATTATTAAATACAAACTCTTTACCATTTGGTACTACATATTTTTACAAATTGAGAATTCATTTATTAAAGTTTTGTTCTTTATATGTATAAATTATAATTAATATTAGATATAAATTTTTTATTAAAAATTTATAATTAATATTAGATATAATTTTTTTATTAAAAATTAATTTAATATTTAATAAATTATCAAATTGACATGATTTGTCTTTTTATTATGCATTAAAAGAATTTATTTGCAATTTAAATGACTTTTACACATCAACTTATTTATTATTAAAGTTTTATCATTTATAGATATGATTTATATTTTACTTTTTTTATACTTTGGATTATTTTTTGTTTATAAAATTTATTACCTACAAATAATTAATATAATTTTATTTAATAAATTAAAAATTTAATTATCTTTGATTTTTAACTATTTATTTTTCCAATAATTTTCTATATATATATATATATATTATCATTAAACCATACTTTTTCTAATATCTTCTTTTTAAAATATAATAAATTTATTATTTTTTAAAAAATTTATCTTATTATTATTAACCTTATTTCTTAAAGGTTTATATTTTTTAACTTTTTATATTATACCTAAGATTTTTTAATATTCAATTATAACTAATAATAATTATTTTAAATCTTTTTCTTAAAACTTTTTTATATTTATTGATAAAATTTTTTAATTAAGTTTCTTATAATAATTAATTTTATCTTATATTAAGTTTTAAAATATTTTTTAATAGTTTTAATTTATATCTTAATATATTTATATATTTATATATTATTTTGTAAAAGCATTAATTTTATTAATATATATATATATATAAAACTCTTTTATTGATCTTTAAATTTTTTAAAAAAAATTTTTATAGTAATTTTCTAAAAAGAAAAATCTTTTCACAAGAAACAATCTTAAGGAGAAATAGCAATGACAATAACTTCTCTTTATATAATATACAGTTGACTCTTGACATCAACAAAAAAATAATGCTAGTTAGCAACAATATTCTTATACTTTTAATTTGCTTTAAAAAGAAAAGAAAACAAAGATAAACCAATTCACACTAGGTTTTTTGAAATTCAATATCAATTTTATAAAGCTCTTAATCAGATTAGTACAAATTAATACCTTTCTAAGTACTAAGAGAGGTTTCAAAAGCAATAATTCAAATTGATAAATCAGTTCAAACTTGGGACTCAAAAATCCAAAAAGATGTTCAGATCTCTTAAGTCAAACAATAAGGATTAGTAACAAACAATCACCATAACTGATCCATCAACTCATATCATGTAAATACAAATATGTAAAAGTAAATAAATTTTAGATATGATAAAACAACAATTTATAATATATCAATATATTACAAAAAATAATATGTGTTAATCTAGCTGCATCATAAACAACAAATAAGTAATATATATATAGATAAACAAGACTGATATACAAGATCAAAACACATGAATAAATAATATATTAATAAAAATTATTCAATTACATAACTCAATATAATTTCTTATTTACAGATCACTGTATAGAAAAATAATAAAATAATAAAACAACCCAATACACATAATAGTTTATCCATTTTATGTGACAACATGACTCAAAAAAAGTAAAATAAATCAAAATTCTAGAAAGACATGAGAAAGAAATCCTAAGAGTATTAGAGAATATTGCTACTAGTCATAATTCCCAACAAAAATTATGAAAGATAAAAATACTTCAATATAAGCTAAGGTATAAGATAGGAGATCCCAGTAAGAGCAATCCATACAATCTCAATATTAGACAACATCATTGCCACTTTGTTAAATATAGATCCTTTAACTTTGGCAAAAGAACATATATTAAGAAAATATATTATCACTTTGTAGAAAAAGAAACAAGGCAAAAGACAAGACCTAGAAGCTTCCATGTTTGAAGAAAAGATGTATAACATATTAATAAACAAGATAGAAAATTATATCTTGAGTCATGGTGTAAAAGAAACTGTAGAAACATATAATATTCCAATGAATATTTAACCAACTTCTATAGAAACTGAAGAAATTAACCTGATTAAAGAGGTTGAAATAGAAGACAGGACTATAATAGAGTATATAGAAATAGAAATAATCAAAGAGATAATCCAAGAAATCTGTATTATATAAAATGTTACTTATAATATATGAAATAGAATATAAAATTCTATAGTTAATCCCTACTTTATCAAATAAATAGGTACAATTAAATTAGAAGTGCTTCAAGCTACACTACCAGGAAATAACAAAGAAGAAGAAATCAAATATTTCAAGAAAACTTTAAGTGTATCCAAGAGAATAAATACCTTTAAGACTAAATTCATTAATGACAACTATTGAATTACTTTTGATATTAATGAAAAGGAAGATATAGCATGTTGTTTTGAATCAATTAATAAAAAAGAAGAGAAAAACTTCTCTATTAAGAGAATGGATTAAAATAGAAACATATGTCCAGTCTTTCAAAAATATACTTTGAATAAAAGAATTTTCAAATCAGAAAACTTTCTTTTAGCAAAAAACAGATCAAAATATATTATATTGGTGGACACAGACACAAATATAATAAACAATCAATTAGGAAGGCAATAAAAAAATATAGAGAAATAGTCAATATTTACAAATATCATATAGTTTTTTACCAAAAAAGATTTAGAATTTATCTTTTCACATATATTGAGCATATCAAATTGAAACAATACTAGATACTTAAAATTAAATCCAATTAAATAAGATCAGTAATAGTTCACAAAGAACTGAATAATTAAGAAGTAATTCTGATACTTAAAAAAAGAAAGTGTCACTTCTTAAGACTATATGAAGTTAATGAAAAATCTATAGAACTGATATCTGAATCACTCAGTCAAACAAATATGAAAGTCTTCTATATACCAAAAAATAAGATTACTTTAGTATCAAAAGATTAAGCAGTAATTTACTTTGAAAATAAGAAAAACTTGAAAGAGTTGTTTAAACAAAAAATCAAAATTGAGAACCAAAGCCTAATATGGAGTGCAAAAAACTACTATTAGTAACAATATAGAATGTTCATCAACTTAAACAATATATATAACTCAGACAATTTAGATGATCCTATTGAAAAAGAAAAAAATCAAAGATATAATAGTTATAAAAAGAAAACAGACAACTATACTAAAACAAAATATCAAAATATGGCAATAATAGGTGCCTGAAATAATAGAAAAACTATATA